TGTTTTCTTATCTTAACAACATCCATAAGAATAGGATTTAATGAGATTCCAGGATGGCAAAGAATGACCTCTTTGAATTCTGTTTGCTACATTAAGCCCTTCCTGTCTAGGTTTTGAAATTGATTGGGTAATCTAGATCTCAAACAGTACCTCACCTTGTAGAAGAGGTAGACCCTCTAAAGCGGGGGAGGATTCCAATGACGTCCAGGCCTTATGTCATGTCAATTTCATGCCAACTCAAAAGGCTAGTTGAAATCCCAGGAAACTACTGATTTCTGCCCTCTTCAACAAAGATGTGAGCAGTGTCAAAAGGGTACTAACTTGTATTTGAATGAGGATATTAAGAAACAGCCATTCAAATCATCCCCTAGGGAATTTTATCAGTGGAGATCACCAAGCAAATATAAAATTATGACCTATTTTATTTCAATATGGTTTGATTCAATTCAATAAGTGCCTACTATGTGCTACTAGACTAGATGCTAGTGGTTGTAAAAATGTACAAATTTCTACTTGTATGCAAATGCAAAAAATAATGAACAAACGCCCCCTACTGTAATCAAGCTAATAGTTTAGAAGAGTTGTTTTCCATTAGATTAAACTCCTTAGACATTGACACTGAGACTTTCAAGAGTTTTACTGATATTCTCAGGATCTTGGACCTGGAGCTCAAAGAGGCCTCTGAGATTTTATCAAATGCCCTCCTTTTAGAGATGAGGATAATGAGCCCTAGATCCATAAAGTAACTTACCTGAGGACATATAGGTAGTAAGAAAGAGAGTCAGTAATCAAACCTAAGTCCTTTTGACACCAAATTCTGTCTTTTCCCCTAGAGTCGGTGAAAAGTAAGGAATCACAGAATAGGAAGGGACCTCAGAGAGCATCCACCTCTGGACCTATCATCTTCTCATCCTAGTTCAAGTAACACCTGAGCAATAATCAAAAGATTCTTGGGATCCCTTGGAAGCCATATGAACAAAGAGGCTTTGCTTACAGACTTCCAATGAAGGGAAGTCAATCATCTAGAATGATATTTCATTCCACCTTGGCATAGCTCTCACTGATCTGTGATCTCATCAATGGATATCCCCCCAATCATATATAATCCCTTTGCTTTTCCCTCCAAGTCTCACTTCCCTGCCTCTAACATAATCCAACAAACATGTAGTAAATGCATATTCCAACTTATCCACTACATGTGATTCTAAAAATTCAAAGACAAAATTAAAAATGCCTTTTATTTTGTTGGTACTCACATTCTCCTGAAGATTATCTCCTTTACCCTCCCTCCATTAACAGGACTCCACTTTTTATCTAATGCCTAGTAGTCTCTGGCAAATAAAATACCCTTAATAAATGCTATTCATTCATTCAATAGAAAATTTAAAGTGTATATGAAACATTTCAAATATTCCTTACCAGATCAGCAGACTGGCCCACTCCTCCTACCCCCCCCAAAAAAAAGGCCATCTGTGAGCCTCTGATTCCCTGATTCTAGTTCATCTGTGGTCATCTGGCCTCTCATAATTGGTATATAAGCTTCTGAACACACCATTCCTGTCCCAGGTAGAGATGTTAATGGTTCTTACAATACTTATTTTTAGCTCTTGGTCCATATTCCTCTTTGAGCTATTGTCTCTTCCTTTGAGTTTTCCCTTTCTTACAATGTTTGGCTTTGAGAGCCAGTCTTTCCTATCCTATGCAGTCCATGTGCTTAATTGAATTGCTTCTTGGAGGTGTCAATTTTTCTGTCCGATATCCCTGAGAGAGGTGACATAAATAATGCCATGGTCCATACCTGATGTCCATCATAACACCAAGGAAGGTGGTGGGAAGAGTAGATAGGGTCAATTATCTGGATAGGAAAATCTGTAGATAATGATGTTGTAGAACTCCTGTTGAGAAAATAAGGAAAGATATAGAAAGAAAGATTGAACTTTCACACAAGATCTCATGGCAACTTCCCTGAGCTTAAGTATAAGGGTACAAGTACACATCACACAGATATTTCCTGATGATAAAAAAACCCAGATGGCATTCAGCAACAACATGAAAAACTCGAAGCACATGGAATGGTATGGGGCTTTATCTTTGACCTTGTTTTGTTCAACATTTTCATCAACAAGTTGTTTAAAGACATAAGATAGATGGAATGCTTATCAATATGTGGATGACAAGAAGCTGAACAGAATAACTATTTTGGATTGCAGAAACATGATCCAAAAACTTTGTGACAGGCTGGAATGATGGGCCAATTTGAATAAGATGAAATGCAATAAGGATGAATTTAAAACACTGCTCTGAGATTAAAAAAGAAAGAAAGAAAGAAACTCAGCTGCAAAAGTAGAAGATGGAGTAGATGATGACTAGGGAGCAGTTCATATTAAAAAAACTGGGAAATTTCATAGATTTGAAGCAGTATCATGTGCAAGTAAAAAAAAAAAACTGATTGAACCTAAGATTAGATTAAGAGAGAAGTAATGTCTTAGTGTGACCATTGTGTTCTACCTTGGCTAAACCATAGCTATGAGTAGAGTGTTAAATCTTGGTGGAATAATCAAAGGGGGACTCTAACAAACTGGAGGGTATTCACAGCAAAATGCCCGGAATGTTGCAAGACCCACAACTGATCTAAGAATCAACTGAAAGAGTGATCCACATTCAACCCAGAGAATATCAGACTTGGTGTGTGTGAGGGAGGGAGGAGACAGAAGAGGAGACTAGGTCCTATAATTGTCTTCAAATATTTAAAAGTTCATCATGTGGAAGAGTGATTTGCTATTCAAACTAATTCCAGAGGGGAGAACTCAGATGAGTAGGTACAAATTGGCCAGAGATAGATTTCAGTCCAATATAAGGAAGACCTTTCTAATAATTAGACCTGTCTACAAATGAAATGGCATAAGCTAATTAGAAAGACAATATGGCATAATGAATACAGGGAATGCCTTGGATATGGAATTCATGAGTTCAAATTCTGTCCCTGACACATACTGGTTATGTCATTCTGGGCAAGTTACTTAACCATTCAGTGTGCCCAGGAAATTCTCCAAGCTAATGAGTTGCTGATCTACATCAGTGGATGAGTTTCAGTGACAAAATAAACGGTTCTATTGTGTTCCTCCCCATCTTCTCAGATGCAAGCAAGCTTGCATTGTAAGGTAAGCAGAGGCTTGCTGACCATGTGAAAGATCATAATAGAGAGCTTTCTCATGTAAGATAAGACCTAGGACAAGCTGACCTTCAAAGTTTCTTTTAAATCTAAAATGCTATGACTTCTGTGAATACTAGCCATGGACCTAATTCCCTTAAGTGTTTTGAAAGCTACTAAAGTATAAGATAGTGTCCTTGAGGGGCTAGTTAGTCTTCTGGGTTTTGCCTTCATGGTAATAATCAATCCAATATTTTAAAAGAATGTATTTGATGAGCTTTTTCAACTTTAAGAAAAATGATTTTACTTAGCTATTACAATTCTAGTTCGTCATGGTAGAAGGGAACAGTGGACACACCACTCCAAAAAGCTTATGGTTAAATGAGATGTCCTTGAGACCTGAGACTACAAAATCCTACGCAGGAACCCTGGAATTGGGCGGTCCCTTCAACTCTGTTATCTCATTTGCATAGTATTCATTTTTCCTAGAATTTTAGAATTGTAGAGTGTTAAAGCTCAAAGTAGCCAAGAAGAGCAAATCTTCTCATTGTCTCATTTTATAGATTAGTAAATGGAGACCTGTGGAATGGAAATAACTTGTCTCAAATCACAGAAATAGGCGATATTTCTTTCCTCTTGATGATAGCTTAAGGTCTTTTATCCTGTCATTAGCTCTTTTACCCAGAGGAAAGTAAGTTTAATGGGAAGAGGAAGAACATCTAGTATAACTCCATTCATTTTAGAGCTCATAGACTATGGATCTATACTTGGAAAAGACTTTTTGAAGTCATATAGTCCAATATCCTTTTTTGCATATGATCAGCTGAGGCCAACAGAAGATAAGTTCCTGGCTCAAGGTCACTCAAGTAGAAAGTAGCAGAGTAGGGTTCTGGTTCCCACGCCTTTAACTCCAAATAGATTTCACTATTCTCTCTGATACATACAGAGATAGCGAGATATCTATATATCTATATATCTATATATATACACATATATAATATACACACACATATATAGTATATACACATATTGTATGCTTATATATTTGTATCTATACTATTTGAAAAATAGAACTATAAGATCCTAATTTCTTTCCTTATGAACAGCTTTGAGGGATGTTTTACTGGGGCAGTAGTTTGAACCTAACGACTCAGACAACTTTTAGATTTTCTGAATTCCAGCAATCTATCTTTCCATTCCACATATACGTGAAAATTGACTGTAATAATAACGTATGGGTATGGGTTGGGGAAAGGCGTGGAAAGAGGGGAGGGGTGGAAAATGTGAAAAGAACAACTACAGTGATTGTTTATACCATAGCTTAAGGATAGGGCCTAGACCTTTCATTTTACTGGTTTGAGGAAATTTCATTTCTGAATGCACCCTTTTATCACCTTCCAGAGGGTTGACTGGAACAGTAAGAGGTTACATGATAAGATCATGGTAGAGCAGGGGTTCTTAAATTTTTATGTTATGGACCCCTTTGGTAGCCTGGTGAAGCGTATGTGCCCCTTCTCTATATAATGTTTTGAAATTCATAAAATAAAATTTGTAGCATTATAAAGGAAACCAATTACATTGAACAAGTTCCTGGGTCCTTGGTTAAGAGTCCCTGGTTTAAAGGCTAGACATGAAAGGCTAGATAGCTCCAAGGCTATCTCTTACCATTCTAGCATGGTTATAATACATCACTTTCCTCACCTCACATAACTTCCTAGTTCCTTGTTTTCATGGATGCTTTAGGAAGCCCAGGACAATAGTTCATCCATGGCAGCCATCCATATCACATATGTTCTGAGTAAGGTAAGAGAAACTGATTGGGACTGACTGCCATGTGCTTTCTCACCAGGACAAAGAAGTGAATTTGGAACAAGTACATAGACGTATGAACAGCTTAATTGATGAAGATATAGCTCACAAGCAGATTTCTCCTGCATCCATTGAAATCTCAGCCCTGGAGATCGGCGGCATGCCGCCCAGCCAGACCTTGGAGCCGGTTCGCGAGTACCAGAACACTCAACTCTCGGTCACCACCTTCTTGCCTGAACAGAGCAGTCACGCGGCCAGTCGGACACTATCAGCAGCAGCAGGCAGCAATCTGCCCCTGCCTCTCAGCAGCTCAGCAACCATGCCCTCAATACAGTGCAAACACAGATCTCCCAACGGGGGACTGTTTCGTCAGAGCCCCGTGAAGACCCCTATCCCCATGTCATTCCAGTCCGTGCCTGGGGGCGTCATTCCAGAGGCTATGGAAACTTCCCATGGAACATCCATATGATTGACACCCACCCACCCTTCTGCCCACCCACCCAACCAGCAGAGCTTTTTAATACAACTAAAAACAAACAGAAACACACACACACACACACACACACACACACACACACACACACAAAAGACTCACGTTTTTCTTGTACATACCTGTAAATAATGAGAGAATGAAGTGGGGTAAAAGTGTATTTTGAATATTCCCAATTTTCGAAGTCAGTAAAAAAAAGAAAAAAAAAAGAAAAAACACAAAAACAAGAAGTGTATGAATGAATTTGTAAATTTTGTTCTATATGAATAAAAAGGCAAACCACTTGTGATCATTCTGAAGTGCCAAAGAAGCCCTGTTCCTGGGCCTGAGGGCAAGAAGCAATTGTTGGGACCCCATTCCCTTTTGGAGGGCATCATGGGTTCCCATGCCCTTTGTGAGAGCCCACAGGTATTTGCTGCTGATTGTAAAGTGCCCCTTTGGCATCTGCATCCCCTCTCCTCCGAATCTTTCCTCTCTTGGCCTGTACTGTTAGCCTGACCTTCTAAGTTTTGGAGAAAATCTGCAAAATTGACATCGCCAATCTCTGTTTCATTAAAAGAAAAAGAAAGAAAAAACAAAGTAACAGTGGGATAGAGGGAGTAGATAGGATATTGGTGACAAAGCTCCTGAACTATCTTTACTTTTCCTATTAGGAAATACCCTGCTGGTCACCGTGGTTCCCCACATTTCATACTATGTGACTAACTTGGATTTCTGTATGCTCCCCTCAACCTTCGTTTGAGTTGAAACAAAACAGGAAGAAATGAGGTCTGGGAAATTGATGCAGTACTCACTCTGATGGGGAAGGGTAGTTGGGGTGGGCATTGTGTCTGGTTGAGATCAGGCATGGTCACAGATGCTGTGAGCACAGACATAGATGGGAGAGTTGTTGACACAGATGAGGACCTAGAGAAGGGGATACTTCAGTCCCTAAGTGTGAATTGGGTGAAATCTTGGCCTGCCGTGGAGGCTACTGGTGTACAGTAGCTCCAATCCCATAAAGCAAATGCTTGTACAATTCAAAGATTTAGAAGATGTGCCATTCCACTCCTGTGACCATTAAGTCACCAAATGGTAAGGTTTGAATTTATACAGAACTGGTGCTGCTTGCTACCTCTTCCCGTTTGATCTATTCTAGACTAAACTCATTAACGTATCTCAATATAAAGGCAAGTCAGCAGGAAAATGCTATCCCTTGCAGCTAGAGCAGCCCAATTGCTGAGGGAAGGGGAAAAATAACAACAACAAAAAGGTAGCCATTGAAGTTCTTGAACCAAGACAGGAGACAAACATCATTAGGAGCTGAATTATTCAAGTAATCTTGGAATGTATCACTTCAGCTCCTCTCCTTTTGCAGATGGCTGCATTTCTTTTTATTAACCTAACAGTTTGGAAAATGCCATGCATCTCCATCTCTATGGAGCAAAGTCATGCATTCAGTAACAGAAACAAGATGAACAAAGCCTAGATGACTCCCTTAAGTTCCCTCACACACACATACACACACACACACACACACACACACACACACAAATTATAATCAGACCAGCTTTGACCTAGAGGGTTGAGTAAGGAGAGGAGAGGAGAGAGTATAGGGTTGTGTTCGTGGAGAAATAAAAAGTCACATCAATCACCTTGTCTATGGCCTTGTATAGTTATTCAGAAGATATATCTATGGGGTATTAATGAGCCCAGAATTGATTTCTTTACTAAAGTCCCCAGTGAAATGATTGAGCAGCAAAGAAATAAAGACTACATCCAACAGTCAGTTAAAACACCCTGAGGAAAAGGATGTTTATAATTTTCTTATTTACCTCTGAACATTTAAAATGTGTGGGGCAGTATAATGGAAAACCAAGGTGATTAATTTCTGTTTCTCTAATCAAGACTAATATAATCTGAAAATGATGCTGCTCACCATTCAGTCATGAGGAGGGAGGAAATAGTTGCTTTAGACCCTCAGCAAAATAGTATTTGGGATGCAATTAAGAACAGGAAAGTAGAATATGCTATATGCTTTCCTTTGGCACTTTGAGGGCCTAGCTCCAGGAATTTTCATATATATGTATGTAATATATATATATATATATATATATATGTATATATGTATATATATGTACATATATATATACATATATACACACACATACATATATATGAAAATTGAAATATATATTATATATATGTACTCACACATACGTGTATATATACACATATACACATACATGTGAATCGATCTCTTTTCTCACTGCCTTATCTCACACCTGCAATCAGTTTCCTTTCCAAAATGGTCTGTTCATCATGGTGTGTTGTACCATGCTTATCTGTTTGACTTAAATTAGAGTAGATGATTGAGAGGATGAAGGAGGCATGCAGACAGGGGAAAGAGGAAAGAGTAGAGAATGGAGAAGGAATGCAAAGAATGGAAATAGAGAAGGGGGAGAGATAGAGAGAAAGAGGGAATTAGGGGGAGAGAGGGAGAGAGAAGGAGAGAAAGAGGAGAGAGAGAGAGAGAGAGAGAGAGAGAGAGAGAGAGAGAGAGAGAGAGAGAGTGAGTATCAAAGAGCATGGAAGGTATTGGTAAAGGGCAGAAAATGATCTGTTTAGAAAATATTCTTATCAGATGTAGACCAAGTACTTTCATTACCCATGACATTATTTTTTGGGTAGCCTAGGTACAGAAGGGTAGTTGTCATGTTCCACAGGTCTTCCCTTAAGACAAAGAAACCTCTCCCACCCCATTCAGATTGACATGTAAATTTAGAACGTATAGTTTTCATGCTCTGGTCTCTGGTTTTTGGATTTATAACTCTGTTTAGACTATTCCATGCATTTTAGGTATATTTTGTGCCTTCAAAAGCTGCAAATAATATTCAGCATTTGGATTAAAGATGTTTAATAATAAAACATATACTTGCTCCCTACCCTGTTATTCACGGAAATGAGGCAGAGATATTTGGCTTCATGCATTACTGAATATTGTTTAATCAGCACTGAAAGTGAAAGAGTTAAAACCGCTCAGATACTGGTGCCTTTCAGAATTAATCAAGAAGGCTTTCTAGGCTGACCTTGCCCCAACTGATTGTTGGACTAAAAACAGACTGGAAGATGGAAGAAACTGCCTTTTCATATTCCTCCTCTTTCTCCTTTCTCCTCTGTCTCCTGTTCTTCTTTTCCTTCTCTTCCATCCTCCTACTCCTTCTTTTCCTATTACTTCTCTTTTCCCTCCTCTTTGTCCTCATCCTCTTTTACCTCTTCCTTCTCTTCCTCTTCCTTCCTTCTCATCTATCTCTTCCCTCTCTTTTTCATTCTTTTTTAAATTTTCCTTCCCTTTATCTTCCTCCTCCTTATCTTTCTATTGATAGATCTATGATTTAACCTTTTCATGACCCAATTGATCTGATTATCTTTGAGCTTGCTAAAATCAAGACCATTGTCCACCCTTTTGCTGATCCTCTCCCAATTTACCTCTTCAGACAATAATTCTGTAGTATATTGCTGAGCCCAAATACTCAGCATTTTCAGTTTAGGGAGACCTTGCAGATCTTCTGATCCACTGGCACAACTTTTGAAATGTAATATTACCTACACACCTTAATGAGACCAAAGGAACAGGACTTCAGTGGAAGTTTTTTCACTGTACAGTTTTACATACCTAATGAGATAACTTGAAAATTATATTTTGACAGCTCTCTAAAGGAAATGTGAGGTCAGTGTGGGATGTAGTCATTATTTCACATTTTTCTTCTTAGCCACATTTGAAGAGTAAAACTTGAGGCTTTCAGGTATAAACCGTATAGTTTGTGAACTCTGTGTCAGAAAGTTTTCCCAACCATCAATTTCCCTTAATTTGCCCTTTGGTTGCACTTTTTTTTCTTGAAAAATTATTAGCATGAATTCAATCCCATTCCACTCTAATGTGATGTAGCTTCTCACTGTGCTGTTCAGGTGATATTGACCAGTTTCATTCACCTACCAAGATCCTGGGGAAGAGAAGGAAGCTTTCCCTGGGAAGTCCCCTGGGAATAGGTTTTGAGGTTCTATGTCTACAACGGGCAAACCATTAAGTGATTCCCTGTGATGGCTATAATAATGCATGGCGGTTGCCACAATGAGGATAGTAGTGCCCACTGGTTTTAATTAAGATGATATTCTCTCCAAAAATGAGTAGGGATATAAAAAAATCATGAGACAACCAAAAAGACAGTAGACTTTGAATAATGTTTTAGCATTGGGGTCAAGTGGAGCTATTTGTTTTAGAAATAATAACAACCTAGATCTTTAAAATATACAATCACACAATTTCTGAAAGAGAAAAAGATTGCATGCATGGAAACTAGTGCAGGGTACTTGGAGGCCTATAAAGAATCAACATTGTCTTTTCAGGAAAGAAAAAAAAAGGATGATTTAGAGAAGAATGAAGACTGATAAAATCCAAGTGACAAAAAACACATGAAAGAATCGCCTCCTCTCCATTTGTAGCTTCAACAGCTAAAATTCACAGAGAACAATTAGTAAATCAATAAGTTAAATTTTGTTGTTCCTTCTATTGCCAAGGTTAATTGCTTGTTTAATTAAAGGTTTCTGCCTTGATATGTAGTCAGTGGATAATGAGACTGTTCAGATTTCACAAGTCTTATACTTTGCACTAGGGTACCACATTCTATAGAAGCAATTCCATGAACTATCTCTGAACAAAACAAAAGCCTTCATTGACTTCATTATCTTTGGCAATAGAAAACTAAATAAAACCACTGTTTGGCTTTGTTGACTCTCCTTCCCTTGCTTTCAGTTGGCCAATTTCAAACTCCCTCAATTTCCAAAAGAATTTGTTTGTTTAGCTGAGTTCTGCCTGTATTTTAAACCAACAGAATGAATGAGCCAAGTGATACTAGACTAGAGTTGGAAGGTTCCCTAGAAATCATCTAGTCCCACAACCTCATTTTAAAGAGGGAAAAATTGAGGCTTTGAGACAAATGATTTACCTAACCTTTTATATTTAAGTCACTTTACATCAAGCTTCACTTAAATGAGATGTCCAGTCAGACATCTCATTGTCTTTCTTACCACTTCCCCCCACAACCCCACTGGACCTGAATAGACATCCAGAGGGCATTCTTCTTCTTCCCTGGGGGGACACAACCTATTTAGCTTCAGAATTTCAGCTTAGGACTGAACAATGCTGACTAATGAGTGATTGCAAACTCAACTTGTCCACTATATTAAGCCAGCCTCAGATTTGCATTCCACCAACCATCCACATGAGTGTCTTGCCATCTGCCCTGCCATCCTCAGTTTTGTTATTTTGGACCTCCTATACAGTGACCAAATCAAGATTACTATTACTTCTGGAAAGGGCTAACTGCTATGTGGTTCCCTTTATCATTCCCGTAACTCCCAAGGTCAAAACTCCCCTTGGCTGCCATTTCCAGATGTGAATTGCCTCCCCCCTTTAGAATGTAAGCTCCTTAATGTAGGGGTTATCAAACTTTTGTATTTGGACCCCAAATGCTTTATACAGTGCCTGCCACATTGATGCTTAATATGTTTTTCTCTCCATTCATTGCTTCATTCAATGAAGTATTAATGTATTCTTGTAAATGACACATTAAGTAAGTAGCAGATTTGGGATTTTGAGAAGGAATTCTAAACTTACACAGAGTGCTATCTTACTAGATTTCACTCTTACATTTGACATCAGAAAGCTAGACTCAACTCAACTCAAATGTTCATAGTTGACATCTTTGATTAAGCCAGCCATTTGTTTGCAGAATTCAAGGAAACAGAAGGTAAATCAACTAATTTGCGTGTGATACTTTCAACCAAGTAGCCAATAGCTATCCTTTATCCATAATCTAAACTTGCTCTAATCCACATACCTATTACACACCTTTCCAGTGGGCTGTGAAAACACAGGTGTTGGGAAGGTGAGAACAAACCAGTCTTGCCCAATCTTGCAATGGCTACTTCAAGGGCTTTGAGAGGAAGAGCTGTGACCCTCCTAGCCAGAAGCCATGGAACTATTAGCCTCTGCTGATCTGTGTTCCGATATGAGGTTATGCACAAATGACTTATATGCCAGAAAGCCAGACCTTTGACAGTTGTTTTTGCATGCATGAACCCTGTGCAGAAATACTGAATTGGATCAGCTAAATGTCTGGCAGATACAAATTGACAGTTGCCAGAGACAACCTGGCACTTCAGTTCTGACATAAACATGGCATATTTACACACACAGTTACAGACAACCTAGTGACTGGACAGAATTGGAAACAGTGGCTAGCCTTAGTCAAAAGTCTCAAGTTTAATCTAGCTAATGAAATGCAATTTTATTTCCTTCACATGAATTTCATGCTGTTAATTGAATCAAAGTCATGTTTATAAAGTGCCTACTACATGTAAGGTACCTTGATTGGTGTCAGTAATATAAATACAGAAAACACTATTGTCCCTACTCCCAAGGTGCTTATAGGCTAGTAATAGGGAATGCATATATATATACACACACACATACATGTATACATATATATACACATACATATATACATACATATATATATATAAACATATATACATACATATATATGTGTGTATGTGTGTGTGTATATGTGTATATATATATGTAAAATTTATACATATA